CGCTGCTGTCTTCTTACCGGTTCCCCTCGTGGCCTTTCCCAGCTCCGCTGCGACCCGCCCCGCGCGCCGGCTCTCCGCCTCCTCTTTGGCCCCCTCCCGCCTCCTCTGCCCCTTCCTCGCAGCACCCGGCGGCAAACGTCCTCTCAGCGCTACTTGTCTTTACTGCAGATACCTTACAAGCTAACAGAAAAAAAACATATGCAGTAATATTCGGTCACTAGTGGCCGCCAGCAACGAAAATACTGCTGAACAGATCCACACAAAATACTTTTCCAAAATGTAGCACGACACTGCTCAAAAACAGCAAATAAAATACTCCGAATAAAACAGCAATAAATTAGATATCCTAACAAAACTGTTATTGCAATTGCTGCAATCAAATAGCAGAGTACCGCCCAGCCGTTTCGAATAGCCGCACTGAATATGAGAATTCTGTCGCTACGCGTAGCACGAAAATGCACGGAATAACACTGTTTGTATTTTTCAGTCAAAATCAAAACTGTTTTATTAATTTTGGATTTTTTCAGAGTTCTTAGGTATCAATCAAAACCATAAATACCTTCCGGAGGTTGGAGGTTGGCCGAGGGCTGTGTAGTTTTCTTTCAATTTGTGCACTCATCGGAAATTAGTGTTATGATTTTTTTTTTAATTTTCCGATTTTCACGAAAACCTATCGAAACTATAGAAAACTCTGCTCCAGCCCGGACAAGCTACAAGCTCTGCCCCAGCCGGGCTCAGTCCAGCCCGGCTTTGCTCCAGACAGACAAGCTATAAACTACTACAACCTATCAGATCACCCGATTGCTAGAATTCACCTCCAGGCAGTGGCTGATTTCGAACTAGTGTTAAATTCGATACCGTTGCGACTCCAACCCTAGGACTCTGCCATTGACGCTGCAACGGCACCCTTATGACTTTGACAGACATATAGAAACATGGACGTTTGTCTCTTATAGGTGGTAAAATCGATTCATTAGAAGCTTTCTTCGATATGACTAAAACTTCCTTTTCGGTTTCATCAGAATTGGATTTTAAAAAGTCTGCCTATTAAAGACATTGCTTTCCTCACAAACGGGACACTTCTTCACATGAGCAACATCAATATTACCTCATCGGTAAAGAGTGCAAAACAAAGTAAACAATGGTGATGAGTCATCCTTCTGTTAAATACTATACATCGCACAGTTCTCCGCTCGCCTGAACAAGGTCAAGTCAGCATGACTTATCTTGACTTCTTCGAGTCCTCCTCAAAATAATACATAAGAAGAGTGGGAAATTTTCACTTTTCAAAGGTTAGCTGAGCGTTTTATGGAAGGTTGTGTATTATAATATTTGTATATCAACTTTATCATTTTGTAATATCAACATTTGTATAGTCAGGCCGTAAAAATACTGTCGATAAAAATGTTGATGGTTAATAAAATATATTTCTGCAAGGGTACCTCTGCTTCATCAGACTGTGCTAGATATGCTGGAGAAAAATTCAAAGTATTAACCGGTTTGACATGTGGAAACATTTGTCTTTTTGACTGATGGGACTCTGGAACCAATTTGTGTTCACAATAGTCGGTAACTTCTTGTAAGTTGTGTCTTACGAGTGCGAATAAAATTCCAGCATTTATACATTTTGACTCGAGACATTGGTTTTTTCTCTTATAATAGGGTTTTTCAGAATAGGCTAGTACTCTATTGCTTACATGTAAGCACATTAGAGTACTAAAATATAATTTGGCTTAGCTTCCATATTACCTTACTTCCATATTCTTTTGTACTCGAGATATAAATATTCACAACTTTATTATTATTAAATTTTTTGATAGTAATCTTTGATTTGACATTCCCCTTCGGGTAACACATGAACGGGGTGCTAGCTTTCCGTGGGGTGATACCAGATTAGATTCCCGGTCCGTACAGAAACATAGTTTTCCGCTACAATCGCGTCAGTTTCTTTAGCTGTGAGACAAAAAAAGGTGCAGACATGCCAAGTTCGCTAGAAACGATGAAGAGAATATGTCATGCTCGACACACATTTCCCTTACCCCCAGCCGTGGATAATAAAAGCAGGACTCAGGTCTGATAACATGCTAGCTGATTAATCTGACCATAAAAACTAATACTGGTATATACATACACGCACGCACGCACGCACACACGCACGCACGCACGCACACACACACACTTCTAAATTTCTTCACTATTTGGTAGTAGAGTTTACATCATGTACATTTATCCCATCAATATTGTCTGATAAAAATATGAATGGTTGATATATTGAGGGAATGCAAAATACCATTTGGGATTTTGTATTCGAAAAGCATTAGTGCCAAATGACAGGTGAAATATGAGGAATTACGTAAAGATACACGTTAAAAAGAGTTATCGGGAATGCAAGGCATCAGAAAATGAAAATATTATATTGACTAAATACATTTTGGCAATTAATTTTTTTCGGACACAAAGCATATTAAAACATGGCACATTGTTGATGTAAGACAAGAGAAGCTAGATGCATAGTTGTGGGGGCGACAAGAGCCCATCGATTCGAAGTATAACAATAAAACAAGTGAACTTGTTAACACGGATCGTAGGTGAAAACGAACACTTTAAGACACAGCTATGTGGGATTATGTAGCGTGAGGACCTATGGCCGTCAGGGTGTTAAGTAAAAATATTTTGTTTTTACTTTGGGAGAGACAGAAAATGGTCATTATGAGTCACGATTATTAGAGAATAGGGAAATAAGTGAGCTAAACAGATTAGCGAGAAAATACTAATATTTATGAAAAATTTAGATCGCGAATTCTAGCATAACTTATAAAGTATATGCGGTGTGATAATATGAAGAGCTCTAGCATGGACATATAGAAATAGTCGCTGATCTCGTCACAACGCCAAGATTGCTGAAATATCTTCGCAAAGGAGAGATTAATTGGAAAAGTAATTTATAAACAAATTAGCAAATCCAAGACATGTTTAATTATAAAATATGTAAATTAAGTTAGAAAATTAATAATTTTTTAAAATCGATATTCGATGGCCATCAAAATAGGCAACAGTAGAGGATATAATGAGACATTGTCAAATTTAAAAAACAAACAAATAGAATATTGAAATAAATTTATTTGGCAGCAGACACTTCATGTCGCTGATAATTTTATAACATATGACAAGGTGTTTGATTTTTGATTAGGATTAATTAAAGGAATAGGTAACAGAAGAAATTTAAATTATCGCCATACGAATACTCGTATGTGCGGTGTTTTCTAGCCCACGAGAAGAAAGACGAGAATACCCTGAGATAATGTAAGTATGCAAACACTCAATCTTCATAAAATTAGAGCTAGCCACTCCATTAAATTGAATAGTAAACTCTGGGCAAAATATAACAGATCTGATAAGAGCCGGACAATGAACTTTCACAATATTATATTTTAGGGTAAAGTGAACTTTGCTCGAGCCTGTTAGTGGACGGTTTACTTGAGAGGTTTATCTCTTAACGAGGTACATTTATTACCTGTTTTATTAAGGTAATTGTACAATAGTCTGTTTAAATAGAGCTGATGTGTCTTTCTGTGATTTAAAAATTGCTGCCTTTATTATCTGATTGGCTTATTTAGATTATATGAATGATGCATTTTGTACCCGTGACCTTCAAAACTGTAAAAAATTCCTGTCTAAATGAAATTTAATAATAATGATCTCTCCTCTTTCCTACCCTCAATAGCAAACATTAATCGTGTACTATTTTTTTTAATACTTCAAAAAGCCTGAGAACATTTATTGAAAAATATTAAACCATTGCCAAAGCTCATAGATTTTCCTACTAAATAAGTATAATTTTCCTACTAAATAAAATGTGAA